AATAGCAGCCACCAGAGGGCAGTGTAGACGTTCTGGAGGGTCTGGAGAGAGGAAAGGGGTACCGAGAGAAAGGACGGTAAAACGCAAATTTAAAGTTAAGTTTCATCTGGTAAAATTAGAATTAAAAACAAACAAACAAAACACCCGGTAGTAGAGTCTTTCCTTTCATTCTGCTCTGTGTGCTCCGGATGAAAACTGACACAGGCCGAAGGCTGCAGCCGATTCCTGGAGGACCCCAGGACATCAATCAGGTCGCTTATTGGGGAGGTCTTGGGTGGGGGGTTAGGGAGAAGACGGTTGTGGGAGGGTGCTTCGGGAAAGTGAGTGGGTGGCTCCCACCCGGGCTGAACTTGCGCCAGCAGGCTGACTTCCAGTAAGGGAGCTTGTGCAAGGAGAGCGAATCCGGGGCTGGCGGGGGAGTCCCCGCCCCGTTCCATATCCGGTGTTTGCTGGAAGAAAACCGCTCCTGCCTGACCTTTAATTACCCAAGCTCCGCTTCCGTGGCTCATCCTGTGACGCAGAAACGGACTGGGTCAGAGCCGGGTTCCTTCCTTTAGGGAAGAGCGAGGTGCAAGGGACAGGAATTCCTCCTCACCTTGAATTTCTTTACTTTTGTTTTCTGTTAAATCATTCAGTTTACCTGGTCACCGAGTTCACCGCAGGGTGTGGTGGAATTTAGGGAGGAGCGACCCCCTGGAAGGCTTGCTTAAAGGCTGACACCCAGTGCTTTCTGCCACTGCTTGTTTGTAGATAGTCGAAACCAACAGAATAAGAAGCTCAGATGTGGCTCTGAGAAGTTTCTGCTATTTGTCAGGACCTGAGTGACCTGTAAGATCTCATTCTCCACTAGGCTGAGAATTTGCCTCCCCTCCACCCCATTTACTTTTCTGTCCCCAAATATGCTCAGCTCCAGTGTCCTGGCTCTCCAGAGAGCACCAGGTGACAACTTAGTTGGCATAATGAACACAAAGCCCCAGATTCAAATAATATGAGCCCCCTCCAGTTAGTATTTTTAAAATTGTGATAAAGTGTATATAACAATACTTACCATTTTAATCATTTGTAAGTGGATAATTTAGTGATATTAAATACATTCACAATGTTGTGTAACGATCACCACTATATATTTCCAAAACTTTTTTGTCGTCCCCAACATAAACTTTGTATGCATTAAAAAATAACTTCCTCATTCCCCGCACATACACCCGCTTCTGCAGTCCTGTACCCTGTATTCTACTTTTTGTTTCTATGAATTTGCCTATTCTCAGTTTCTCCTATAATTAGAATCATGCATTTGTCCTGTGTCTGGCTTATTAGTGTAATGTTTTCAAGGTCCATCCATGTAGTGGCATATACTAAAATTGTTATTCTTTTTTTTTATGGCTGAATAATGTTGCATTGTATGTATACACCACATTTATTTATCCACTCATCTGTTGGTGGACACGGGTTGTTTCCACTTTTTGGCTATTGTGAATAATGCTGCTATAAACATTGGTGTACAAATATCTGTTTGATTTCCTGCTTTCTTATGGATATATACCTAGGAGTGGAATTGCTAGGTTGTATGGTAGTTGCATGTTTAACTTTTTGAGGAGCTGCCCAGTTGTTTTCCCCAGCGGCCGTACCAACAAAGCATGATTGTTCCAATTTCTCCACATCCTAACTAATACTTGTTATTTCCTGTGTGTGTGTTTAAATTATTATTATTATTATTATTTTGCGGTACGTGGGCCTCTCACTGTTGTGGCCTCTCCCGTTGTGGAGCACAGGCCCTGGACGCACAGGTTCAGCGGCTATGGCTCACGGGCCCAGCCGCTCTGCGGCATGTGGGATCTTCCCGGACCGGGGCACGAACCCGTGTGCCCTGCATCGGCAGGCGGACTCTCAACCACTGCGCCACCAGGGAAGCCCTAAATTATTATTTTTATTATAGCCATTCTAGTAAATATGAAGTGATATCTCACTGTGTTTTTGATTTACGTTTCCATAATGACATGATGCTGAACATCTTTTCATTTGCTTATTGGCCTTTTGTGTATCTTCTTTGGTTGGAGAATGTCTACTCAATTATTTTGCCTATTTTTTAAAAATGGAAGTATAGCTGATTTACAATATTGTGTCAGTTTCAGGTGTACAGCAAAGTGATTCAGTTATATTATATATATATTTTTTTTTTCAGGTTATTTTCCATTATAGGTTATTATAAGGTATTGAATACAGTTCCCTGTGTTATACAGTAAATCCTTGTTGCTTATCTGTTTTACATATGGTAGTTTGTATCTGTTAATCCCAAACTCCTAATTTATCCCACCCCGGTCTTCCCATTCCCCTTTGGTAACCATAAGTTTGTTTCCTATGTCTGTGAGTCTGTTTTTGTTTTGTATATAGATTCATTTGTATTACTTTTTGGATTCCACATATAAGTTATATAATATTTGTCTTTCTCTATCTGACTTACTTCACTTAGTATGACAGTCTCTAAGTCCATCCATGTTGCTGCAAATGGCAATATTTCATTCTTTTCTATGGCTGAGTAATATTCCATTGTATATATGTACCACATCTTCTTAAACCAATCGTCTGTTGATACTTTGCCCATTTTTGAATTGAGTTGTTTGCAGACCTTCAGGAAGTCTTTACATATTCTGAATATTAATCCCTTATCAGATATATGGTTTCTAAATATTTTTTCCCATCTGTAGGTTGTCTTTTCACTTTCTTTTGTTCTTCTAATTTTATTTTATTTATTTATTTATTTAAAAAACTTTTAGTTATGTTTTGATTTTCCCTAAAAACTGACATATCATTGAGACTATACTGATGTTGACAGACCAGGGTTATAAATATATTTATGGGAAAAATTGTTGCATTAACTAAACAAGCTCTTGCACCAGGAACAGCCCCTGGGCATTTATATTCGACTTCTGCTACATTTCCAAGGGCAGGCCACCCTGATATGGCATGTTCATGACAAGTAAGTAGCACTGAATACTGGCAAGTCCCAATATAACCTCTGCAGAAACGTTGTATGGAAGGCATTTCTTCTGGGACTAGTAAGAACTTGCTGTTATTTACAGTAGCATGTTTCTTTCCTATTTTCATTTTGCCAAACTTTGAGTATTTGACAGTGCTTTTCTTTTTTGTTTTTAAAATTTTTGAATTTTATTTTATTAATTATTTTATACAGCAGGTTCTTATTAGTCATCAGTTTTATACACATCAGCGTATACATGTCAATCCCAGTCGCCCAATTCATCACACCACCACCCCTACCCCCACGCCGCTTTCCCCCCTTGGTGTCCATACGTTTGTTCTCTACATCTGTGTCTCAACTTCTGCCCTGCAAACCAATTCATCTGTACCATTTTTCTAGGTTCCACACACATGTGTTAATATACTATATTTGTTTTTCTCTTTCTGACTTACTTCACTCTGTATGACAGTCTCTAGATCCATCCACGTCTCAACAAACGACCCAGTTTCGTTCTTTTTTATGGCTAATATTCCATTGTATATATGTACCACATCTTCTTTATCCATTCGTCTGTCGATGGGCATTTAGGTTGCTTCCATGAGCTGGCTATTGTAAATAGTGCTGCAATGAACATTGGGGTGCATGTGTCTTTTTGAATTATGGTTTTTTCTGGGTATATGCCCAGTAGTGGGATTGCTGGATCATATGGTAATTCTATTTTTAGTTTTTTAAGGAACCTCCACACTGTTCTCCTTAGTGGCTGTATCAATTTACATCCCCACCAACAGTGCAAGAGGGTTCCCTTTTCTCCACACCCTCCCCAGCATTTGTTGTTTGTAGATTTTCTAATGATGCCCATTCTAACTGGTGTGAGGTGATACCTCGCTGTAGTTTTGATTTGCATTTCTCTAATAATTAGTGATGTTGAGCAGCTTTTCATGTGCTTCTTGGCCATCTGTATGTCTTCTGTGGAGAAATGTCTATTTAGGTCTTCTGCCCATTTTGGATTGGGTTGTTTGTTTCTTTAATATTGAGCTGCATAAGCTGTTTATATATTTTGGAGATTAATCCTTTGTCTAGGGCACATAACTTTTTGTGCCCTAAAAAGGAGGCAGACAGCCTCATACCTCATCAGAACTTGGAACACGAGGAGAGTGTGTCATGATAACCTCTGGGAGATAAGGTGGTGAGTAGGAAATGGCCTTGTAGCAGCTGCTCAGAAGCTTCCCAGGCTCTCATGTTCTGGAAGGATCATAGGGCATTCTCAAGACTTAGATCAGCTACAGACGAGTCTTGCCTATGTGGCCTATGTGGAAACATGTGAGGTCACCAGGATGCCATGGCAGAGTCATTCCCCAACAGAACCAAGAATTGTCAGAGGTGAGGAATGCTCCCATCAGCTGTACCAATTATGATTGTACGAACTGAAAGTTAGAAATGCTGTGCATCTACTATGGGCTTCCTGATGCCACTGGGTGTGAGGCCAAAAAGGATGCTATCCAGTATTCAGTAAGGTAATCAGTGACCAGAATATATCTTTCTATAATAGGCAATAATCAGTAATAAAATACATTGGGAAAAAGGTCACTTTCAAAATAACAAAAAAGTATTAAATACCTGAGAGTAAAATAAGAAATGACTAAGTCCTGTGTGGGGAGGAGAAAGGAAGAGAAAACTTTACTTAAGAACCTAAAGAAAGATTTCAAGGAAACGGAAGCACATAATATGATGATCCTTTATAGAAAGACCTGATATTTTCTTTTGCGAATTTCACCCCAAATTACTCAATAAGATAATCTGAAATTTAAGATTTTTATTTAGAAAAGTAAATGAGCAGGAA